TGCGGCCTTCCTGGTGATGAAACAGAGGTACCTGCCAAAAATGAACGAAAACCGTTGCAAAACGAATGCTCGGGGACCAAAACACGCAGTTCGGGGTCCCGAAAATGGGCTGTTAAGCACCGAAAGTGGCATTCGGCCACGAAGTGGGTTTCTCAGACCCCAGTGTCCCTCAAAAGGGAGAAAATAAGATGCATGCCAAAAATCAGAGCAATAGGAGATGGTTAAGCGATCCCGAACTGAGGCACAAGGCCTGACGGCTCCGAAAACCGGAAACCGGAAACCGGACTCCGAAATAGGAAAAATGGCCTACGGCCACCAAATGTAGCCTACGGACATTGAGAGATGGCCTACGGGACCTCTCCCTTCCCTCAGGAAAAGAAACAAAGAAAATCGAGTCTGGTTCGCAAACCGAGGCAAGGTACGAAAGAGGGTTCGGGAGTCCGGAGGCAGGGCTCACGGCCGCAACTCTGAAACTTCTGAACAAGCACATTATGCAACATCACCAAGCGCTCAATCGGTGACGTCTAAGTCTTGAAGTCGGTCAAAAATGGGGTGTCTACAGATGGGTCACACTCCATAACACCAGGGTCAGGCCGGGCGCTAGAACACATATCTTTGGTTGGGTTTAGGCTCGAGCCTAGTTGGGCCTACCCAGGGCACGAGCAGACTTGGGGTGTGTCGCGAGCTCGTGGGCCAAATTTACACCCCTATATATGGGTAGTGGTTATGATATATGTGATATCGATTATGAAACAAAGGGTGCTGGTTATGAGATGTGGTTATAACATATGTGGGTAAAGGTAATGAGATATATGATTAGTGATTATGAGATATGTGATTTTGGTTATGAGCAGAGTGGTATAGTTATAAGTCAAAGAGTGTTTGGTTATGAGATATGTGATTAGTAGTTATGATATATGTGATGTTGGTTATGAGACATGTGAGTAATGGTTATAAACAAAGTGGTGTCAAAGGGTGTTTAGTTATGCTATATGTGTTAGTGGTTATAAGATATGTGGATAATGGTATGAGCAAAGTGGTGTCAAAGGGTATTTGGTTATGCTATATGTGTTAGTGGTTATGAGGTATGTGAGTAATGGTTATGAGCAAAGTGGTGTTAAAGGGTGTTTGGTTATGCTATATGTGTTAGTGGTTATGAGATATGTGAGTAATGGTTATGAGATATGTGACTAATGGTTATGAGCAAAGTGATGTCAAAGGGTGTTTGGTTATGCTATATGTGTTAGTGGTTATGAGATATGTGGGTAATGGTTATGAGCAAAGTGATGTCAAAGGGTGTTTGGTTATGCTATATGTGTTAGTGGTTTTGAGATATGTGAGTACTGGTTATGAGCAAAGTGGTGTCAAATGGTGTGGTTATGCTATATGTATTAATGGTTATGAGTTATGAGACATTGGTTATGTGACTAGTAGTTATGAGATATGTGATGTTGGTTATTAGATATGTGACTAGTAGTTATGAGATATGTGATGTTGGCTATGGTCAAAGTGGTGTGGTTATGAGCAAAAATGTGTTAATTATAAGATATGTGATTAGTGGTTATGAGATATGTGATGTTGGTTATGACAAAAAGGTCTTGGTTACGAGATATGTGAATAGTGGTTATGAAATATGTGATGTTGGTTATGACTCAAAGGGACTAATTATGACATGTGGTTATAATTTATGTGGGTAGGAGTTATGAGATATGTGATCAATGGTTATGAGATATGTGATATTTGTTATGATCAAAGTGGTGTTGGTTATGAGATATGTCATTATGATTATGAAATATGTGATATTAGTTATGAACAAAATGGTGTTGGTCATGAGATGTGGTTATGAAATATGTGATATTAGTTATGAATAAAATGGTATTGATTATGAGATGTGGTTATGACTAAGTTATGATCAATTTAATGATGCGGCTCAATCCTAGCCATTGATTTTTTGTGTACCGTACATTTTTTGAACAAAATGTACCATAGACTTTCCTCGAATTTAATGTACTTTATTTATTTTTTTGGTCATAAAATTAAGTTTTTTGAGAATCTCAAGCCAAATGCTTAGACGCCCGTGGATGTTACAATTTTACTAAGTATTTTGCACAAACTTTTAATGTCTTCAGCTAAGTTTTTTTTAAAAAAATTAAATTAAAATTAAAAACAAAATAACACTAGGAACACTGACACTCTTATTAACAATTTTGCTAACACACTTTCAATCTTTACTAATATACTCACCATACCATAAGAAGTTGAAAACTTGAAACATATATTGCTGTTAATCGTTAAATAAATCCACATTCAATGAAGCCTTGATTATAGAAGTACATTCACTATTCAACATAAATTCTTCAAAGGAGGAGGGGGGCAAACTGCAGACAGGCACACAACTTCGAAGAAAATTACAACATCTCAGAGATCTCGGAGTTGTCGAATGTTCATCAGAGACACGTATTTGTGGTCTCCTCCGATAAGTTGTTTGGCAATGATAACGTTGGCAGCATCACTGGGATGGTAAGGATACCAGAACACGTGCTTGTCGCGGTCAGAGCACATGCTTGATTGTGGTCCGCATGGAACAATCCCGGCAAATTGGCCTCCATTTCCACAACATGCCCTACTTGCTGTTGTGAATCCGGCATGGTTTCAATAATATTGCGCAATGTTAGTAAAATGCTCACCATATGTGGCATAGTTTTTGATGAGTTCCATAACTAGATCATACACGTTTGCATGAACAAATGTGGCTCCAGGGAGGTTGTCATTTAGCTCAGCTAGCAGATCCTTTAATCGAGCATTGTACTGAAGAGCCAGCTTATTAGGCAATTCAACACACTCATCTTCATTTAGTTGATTGATTGTCTTCCGATAGGGAATGCAACCAATTGGTCCAACATTTCCCACTATAAACTTCCTCGCATCTAATTTATATAGTCTCTGTCATCAACATAAATATGTCACAAAATTAACTATAAGATAAGATGTGTAACAAGTCACAGCAGAGATGGCAACGGCGGGGTGGAGGAGGGCGGGTATCAGTGGGATGATGGTTATTTTATAATTTAAAAATTATGATATTAAGAAAAGAAAAATGCTAAAAATAGCCCTAAGAGCTCCTGTTACTGTTAGAAAAGAGTAATGCTAGAGACCCCAAATATTTTACCAAAAGTTTTATCAAATGTCTCACATAGGTGTGGGACCCACACAATGTGGGTCCCATGTGGGTCCCACACCCATGTGAGACATTTGGTAAAACTTTTGGTAGAATTTTTGGGACCTCTAGCATTTTTGTATTCTAAATCTTGATAGTTTAATATGTCAAATTTAAATTTGTCTTTGGCATTGTCATGATATTAACTAACAGATACTCTTAAATGACAAGTCCAACTTAATTTTCTAGAGTTCACTAAATTTGAGACAATTTAAGATCTTATTGCACTGCTTGAAGGATTTAGAATAACTCAATTAACCTAGCTAGAACCATGTCATCATAAGACAGAGTAAAATGAAATGACTTTTAACCAAACAAAAAACCAACCACATAACATAGCCATACAAATAAGAGATAAATAGACTAAGGAAAATGTCTCGTAACTCAAATTTTGTGACTCAAAAGTGGCTCAAATGGCCAAAACGACGTCGTTTTGGCCATTTTTATGTTGTTCTGTACTCAAAACGACGTCGTTTTGGCCATTTGAGCCACTTTTGAGCCACAAAATTTGAGTTACGTAGCATTGTCGGTAAACTAATGAACCAGCACACTAATTCCTTCTAAAGCCTAGCCTAGCCAAATCGGAAAAGGGCTCTGTTCGGCTGAGTTTTCAAAAATTATTTTCTCAATTTTTTTTTTAAAAAAAATTAAAATTAGTTTGACAAAAATTAAACACCAACAAAGATATTTTGGAACTTTAAAGAGAAAATTATATTCCAGCCATTGTAAATCTTCAAATTTAGGTGGAAAAATAAAAGATGGGCTGTTTACAAAAAGAGAATGGAAAAGTCGATCCATTGGCAACACCTTGGGCAACCTTATAAAGCGAGAAAGTAAGCCCACGGCCTTGTTTCCTTAGAGGCCTGGTTTCAAATTGGTTGCCAATAACGGGCCAACAGAGGTATGAGTTGTTGATAATAATAACAATAATAATAATAATAATAAATCCTCTCCAAACAAGCGTATCATGCCATGCCAATTATATCGAGTAATGATTCATATTATAAATATTATTTTTTACATTTGTGTATATTATTTTTTTTAATTTTTAATTTTTAATTTTTTATAACCTTCCTGATTAACTGTGGGGGTTTTCATTTACACCCAAAAAAATATTAAGTACGCCCAAATAAAAGTTTAAATTTTGAGTTCTTATTATACCTTAATACAAATTTACTAATAAGGCTACACATTAAATCTTAAAATAAAAAATATATTTTTTATAACCTTTCTGTTTTGAAGCCTGAATATGTTCTGATTTAAATACTGGATCCTAACTTGTGCTGGATATCATTCATAAAACCCCTTTACTTTGTTATTATTTACTGGGCTTTCGCTCACAGTTTATATTATGTATGTAGGTGAGCCGGCACATGACTAGGGCCAGAGTTGACAGCCTCCTGTTTTGTTTTTGTCAGCCAACTGTAATGCCTCCCGAGGAGGTTCCGAATGAAGCCTAAAGTCATGACTGTTTTTTTTGTATTCATGCTAGTCTTTGTGTATGCTCTATAAAGTCAGATCTTGGAAAGTACATTCTGTAAATACCTTGTAAATATTGTGTATCTGGATTAGCATGTTTATGTATATATAAATAAGTCTTGAAATATTCTGTCCCACGTACGTTATCACAGCTCATTGGACCTTGTCTATTTTATATTATTGCTTCCGCAGCCCCTTATTATTTGATAACCTGTTCAGAGGCCTTTGGTAATCCACGGGTTACTGGCCGGTTACGGTGCTAAACCTATAGGGACGGGTTTGGGTCTTGACACCTAGTTTGAGAAGGTTGCCTATGATGGGAAGTGAGGTTGGTCCGGGTGGGATTTTGGGGTTTGGTTGGTCTTACAAGTGAAATGAGGGCTCTGAGGAGTGTGAAGGTTAACAATAGATACAAAACCAAGCTCAAGAAATCCATTGTCTCCAATGTTTTCCTAGGTGATTGGGATTTTTCTTGGTTCATCTATCCTTCTATAACTTTCTCTTATATAGTGTACGGGTAGGAAATATTTGACACCACCCGTACTTCTCGCGTCCAAGCTGTGTTTTTCTCCGATCGTCCTGCGGACACAACGAAGGTGAGCTACCCGGCGGTGTGTTGCCGAAAAACCCCTCCGACGGTCAAGTTAGCACACACTCTCAGAGAAAGGGAAAAGAGAGAGAGAGAGGGTAAATCACAATGAGTATCTCTCACTAGATAATGTTCCATCTTCAACATGGGGGGTGCAGTCCTATTTATATACTTTCAGCGCTCACCTCTGCGTCCATTCACATACTGATGCGTGGAGCTCCTCTTCAATCACACTTTCCCACATGTCAATGCAAATCCAACTTAACACCACCTAATCTGACCGCCAAACAGCAATAGAGCGATCCGTGCTGAAAAACCCCTCCAAACCGTGTCACATAACGAAACAAGCAGTGCTCCTCACCAAGCTCCATTATGACCGATCTTAGCAGCACTCCATCATAACCGAGCTCCTGCTAAGCTAGGCCGGTGTGTGGAGGACCTAGAGCGCTGAGCAGAACGTGCGGACAATAGAACCCGGCTAACGGAGCATCATCTCGACCAAATGGGCCCAGGACTCCAACCGTGCGAACTAACCTTGGATTGGCCTAAGCTAGCTCGGCCCAAACACGTACGGTCCAGGCTAGCTCGGTCCAAACACGCTCGGTCCTCTCAGGCAGCACATTACCACGGCCTAAGCTAGATTATGAATCTTCCTCTCAATTGCCCCTTAATTCCGTCCGCGCTAGCGTGACTGGGATTATTCGATCCAACCGGGGTCGCTCATCTGCCTGGCTTTAATTTGCAAGACATTAATCGCACTAATCCCAATGCCCGGCCTCTGGACTTGCTCGGTCGGTGCCTCGACTCGCCAACATGTCTCTTCAGTACTGACCTCGCCATCATTATGGACACGCATCCTTCACTCATTGGCCTCGAATAGCCAACCCAGCCGCCTCTTCACATTCGAATTTTGGCGCTTCTTTTTCTCCTCTATGCATATTGTTTGCCCCTTCCTCTTTCTTCCTTATTGTTTGTCCTTCTCCTCAGACAACCCAGCGACTCAAATCTACAGTGTAACCCCCTCTACCAAACACTATTCTTGCCCACATCACAGCATTCATTTGGTGGATTAGGCATTGCTGTTGACGCTCAGGAGTGTTTCTGCGCTTGTGGATCCGATTCTCGCCTCCAAACCTGTAAGTTCTTCGAATCTCTTCATTGTTCTTTATTTGATACTCATACTTTCTAGGCCTGTGATCGTCATAGTTGAGTTTAGGGCACGATAGCAGTAGGTTTTAGGATGTAGCCCCCCAAAAACCACCTCTGCCCTTTCTCCCTCAACTGTTCTTCATTTTCTGTGATGAACACGCGAGGAACTGGGGCAGACCGGGCTTCTGGACCTCATTTGATCTCAAAAAATAATAAAATCGAGCAAGTTGGAAGTTTGTGAGACGGGTGGGAATCTAATCAGAAAGCTTAACCGCTCGAGCGGGCTAATATCTAGTCCGCTCGAGCCGCCGAGCTTCTAGGTGCACAGTAGTGACTGAGGTACTACTACACTTCCTGTGACCGAGCTAAAACCGAGCTCATTTGCGCGACCGCGCTACCACTTACACTTGGCTTTTACTGCAGAGTCCTAGGGGACCAAAAACCATCACTGAGGCTCTCAAAGGCCGAGTAGCCATCATATGAAAGTTTTGCCAAACCAACATAGCCGTGCTAAAACCAGTCGGCTTCACACGGGGAGTTACCGCTTCCTCGTTAACACACCGGGTGCATTAGCCGTGTTCCGGGAGGAATATGGCATCCCTGCCGATGTCCACCTTGAGCTCAGCGTAGAGGACACCACCCTATGGGGTAGATTAGACCAATGCCCCTTCACCGTGCTTTCCATAATAGAGGGCGGCCTACGTTTGCCGGTCCAGCCCTTGATGTGTGAGTTCTTGAGGCGCACCGGGCTAGCGCCAACGCAAGTTTCAACAAACACCTTCAGAATAATAAATGGGGTAGCCGAGCTAAACAATCGGCTTGGCTTGAACCTAGGGCTAGCCGAGATTTTGCGCCAATACACCCTGTGCCATACAGGCGACAGGCTTAATTATTATTTGAAGATTAGACCAGGCAAAGAAAAGCTTATGATCGGCACCCCGGATAAAGATATGCATGACAATGACTTTTTCTAGGTATCAAGGAATTAGGAGACAGCTGATGCGCCCGGCTGGTACATTAGCAAGAACTTCGGTTCGACATGTAAGCCGTGCTCATTGACCGGTCCAATTATTTTCCATTATAATCTTGTACTAATTGCTCTTTTCCTTGCAGCTATCGAAGCCTTGCAAGCAAATTATTTCAACCCTAACGAGGCCTTCATCAAAGTTGTGTTGCGGTATCGTGACCGAGATTGTCGCGACCTTCTCGGTTACGTGCCGAGCTATCGATACATGGCACCTCGCAGAAGCAAAGTCATAGACTTTCTACGGGCACCATCACCTCCGCCTGATCCAACACTACCGGACATCCCCTTAATCCGGCTAACCGAGGAAGAAGAAATGGCCAAATGGAGCCGTATCAAGAACCTCATCACCGCCATATCTACCGAGTTGCCTAGCATCCCCCCTCGCGCGTCGATTGCCGGTCAATCATTTGGGATCGTGATCGCCCTGGCATCGACCGCTACGGCCCAGGCTAGCAAGGAAAGCCACCAAGCAGGAAAGAGACCTCAGTCTGCTGACCCATCTGCCGAGCTTGCAGCTGAACTGAGCACTGAGCAACCAGCGGTGGCCTTAGAGCCAACTCCCCTATGATAGCCGCAGTTGAAGCACCGCGGTAAGGAGATCCCGGCTAACGCCTTGGTCAAAGGCGATAAAGAGCATCTCCTAGCTTTTGACCTAACGAAAGCATTGCTCCTGCCGAGCGACATCACCGGCAGCGACCACGTGCCCGACACCTGCCTCGTGGAGTCCTCGGTTAAGTCTATGACCTGGGTAAGAACTCTGTAACTTACTCAAATTTGTTAAGTGTTTGCATGGCTAGTCCTCTTCTGATCTAAACTCTAACACGTCCTCTTACAGGCCATCCAGAAGCAACATCTTGTGATGGACCGGATTCATAGACTCTGGTAAAAGGTGACCGACACCACCAGCCAGGTCGAGTACCTTCAAACCGAGCTGGGATGGTCAAAGGCTTCTTTGGAGATTGCAAATGCTGACAACTCCAAATTGCTCGGCCAACTTGGATCTGCCGAGAAGGAAAGAGACGCTTTTCAGGCCGAACTGGAAGCGTTAAAGCGATCAAAGAAAGATGAAGTGGACGAGGCAACCAATCAAGGTTTCAAGGAGGCTGAAGACAGCTACACCAAGCAAGTCGAGGCCACCAAGGACATATTCTTCAAGTTTGGCTGGAAGGCTGCTTGTGAACAGCTCGGCCAAGGATCTCGAACCGAGATGTTTACCTCTCCACCCGTTGCCTTTCTACTAGCCTACATGGTGCCATACGCAAACGACATCTTCAGTGCATTGCAAGCGGAGACCAATGAGGAAGGCGGACATGACGCCGAGGAGGATGCCGAGGAAGAAAACCACCCTAAGGAGGCAGACCAGGTGGAGTCGGGCACCGAAGAAATCTCCTCCGTGGTTGATCTGGAGGCTGCTGCAGAGGGCACTGGTGACGATTTCGCCGACCTTTCCCCTTTGGTGTAGCTCAGTATTATTATTATTAATTTTTTTTGTTTTGTCTTTTTGGTATGTAACCGGGCTACTCGCCCCACCACATGTACTTCATTTCTTCAGCAATGAAAAGGGTTCGTTTTGCTTATACTCTTGTAATGTGCTGATATTGTTAATTTTTCAACCGTACTATTTCTGCCAGGTGAGAAAAGTATCTCAGCCAAAAATCCTTAATTCATTTCTTCGATAAAAGTGGATGGAATTGAACAACCCGTGAACACAAGCCGAGATAAACATCTTGGTAGCAACGGTAAAATAAATCATTAGTTCCTCTAGCCGAGACAAAACATCTTGGGAAAACACCAACTCGGTTAGCCGAGGTATAACACAAGAGTTGAGCACATCATCAACTTCTCTAGCCGGGGTAGCTCATCTTGGCTAGAGTCTTTGAGTTGGGTAAATCACCAACACTTTTAGCCGGGGTAAAACATCTCGGCTAAAAACACAGGAGTTGAGCACATTATCAACTTTTTTTAGCCGGGGTATATTATCTCGACTAGAGCCTTTGAGTTAGGAAAATCGCCAACTCTTTTAGCCGGGGTAAAACATCTCGGCTAGAATCACAAGAGGTGAGCACATCATCAACTCCTCTAGCGGGGTAACTCATCTCGGCTAGAGTCTTTGAGTTGGGCAAATCACCAACACTTTTAGCCGGGGTAAAACATCTCGGCTAGAGCCTTCGAATTAGGCAAATCACCAACTCTTTTAGCTGGGGTAAACCATCTCGGCTAAAAACACAAGAGTAGGCCCCTCAGTCATTACATTACAACAAATTTCTTCAGCAAAGATAATTCTTTTTTATTACATTGGCAAAAAGAGTATTACATTCAGAAGTATAAGGAAAACAAGTCCATCCACAAAAACTACATAAAAAAAGACAAATACTAAAAATAGTACAGTTTGAGGTTAGCCGCATTCCATGGCCGAGGTACGCCTTTGCCATCCAAGTCCTCTAAGTGGTATGCCCCCTTGCTCGCTAGATCGATTATCCTGTAAGACCCTTCCCAGTGTGCCCCTAGCTTGCTTTCGCTTGGCACCAGTGTGTTGCCCATCACCTTTCTTAAAACCCAGTCCCCGACTTTAAACGGTCTGGGATGCACCGTTTTGTTGTATTTTCTGGACAATTCTTATTGGTATGCGACCACGTGGATGAAAGCTTTTTCTCAGCGCTCGTCAACTATGTCCAATTCAAAGGCGATGGCTTCAGAATTCAACTCGGGCTCAAAACTTTCGCTGCGGATGGTGGGCATGCCGATTTCCAATGGGATGACCGCCTCCATGCCATATGCCAAGGCAAAAGGAGTTTCCCCAGTTGAACGTCTCGGGGTTGTTCGATATGCCCAGAGGACACTAGGGAGCTCCTTGGCCTATTTGCCTTTGGCCTTCTCCAACCTCTTCTTCAACCCATCCAGAATGATCTTGTTCGAAGCTTCAGCTTGGCTGTTAGACTGAGAGTAAGCCGGGGTGGAATTGTAAAATTTGATCTTCAAGTCCTCAAAAAATCCTCTAAACAGTCGCCCATCAAACTGGGTGCCATTATCAGATACCAAAGCCTTGGGGACGCTAAACCGTGTTACCACATTCTACCAAACAAACCGTTTGACATCTTTGTCTTTGATGGTCGCTAAGGGCTCAGGTTCAACCCATTTGGTGAAGTAATCTGTCACCGCAATGAAGAACTTCCGGTTGCCTGGCGCTGTTGGGAGTGGCCCCACTATGTCCAACCCCCACATTGAGAATGGCCAAGAACTTGTGAGGGGGAGAAGTTCTCTGGCTGGCTGGTGAATTTGGTGGGCGAATTTTTAGCATTTTTTGCACTTCCTAACATATTTTTGCCCGTCTGCCTGCATGCATGGCCATCAGTATCCTTGCAAAATAGCGCGGTAGGCCAAAGATCTCCCCCCGATACAACTGCCGCACATGCCTCATGGATCTCGTAAAGGAAAGCTTCCACGTTGTTTGGATGGACACACTTGAGGTACGGACTGGTGAATGACTTCTTATATAAAGCGCCAGATGGAGAGAGCCAAAACCGCTCTGACTTCACCCGGACTTTATGCGCTTTCTTTTTATCGGCCGGAAGGGTCCGTTCTTTCAGGAAAAGGGTAATAGGGTCCGTCTAAGAGGGGCCAAGCTCGACGCAGAGTACTTCTGGCTGCTCAGATTCATCAATACTAGGCCTTGGAAGAAACTCAATCAGGAGAGGACTGGGAGATGAACTGTTGACCATGGAAGCTACACCGGCTAACTCATCCGCATGGCCATTTTCTTCATGACCAATTTGTTGGACCCTTATTGCTTGGAATCGCTTGATGTGTTCTCTCACCAGAGCTTGGTACTTGGTCATTCTGTCATCTTTGGCTTCGTAGACCCTAGACACTTGGTTGACAATAAGTTGGGAATCGCCGTAAACCATCAGCTCGAATGTGCGCAACTAGAGTGCGCTCTTAAGCCCGACCAGTAGTGTCTCGTACTCAGCCTCATTGTTTGACGCAGGGAATCCAAGTGTGATGGAGTGTTCGATGGTCAGACCATCCAGCGAGATCAAAACAATGCCCAGCCCGGCGCCGTGACGATTTGAGGCTTTATCTACAAAAATTTTTCACATTTCATCGACGAAGAGTTTCCAACACTCTGAGGGGTCCTGGGACGATTGAAAGTTGATGGGATCACGATCGCTCGATTGTTCGGCTTTAGGTTCGTTGCTGTCTATTTCAACGGACACGTCTTCATTCCCCCTCGGCGATACGGCATTGGACCCAACAGGTTGGTCTGTTATTCCCGAGTCCATCATCGCATTGCCAGGATACAGTACTATTCCGACTGGAGGTTCTATGGACGGGAGCACAAGTTCCGTGTCACCAACATCGCCCTGTTGTGCAATTTCCGTTGAGCCTTCATTCGTCACCTCGGCTATCGCGGTAAGATCCACCAGGCATGCTTGGTGAATTCCAGGCGAGAATTGAGCAACGAAATCTGCCAATGCTTGTGTTTTTATGGCCGTTCGGGGTTGAAACTTGACGTCGAATTGTCATAATTCGACTGCCCACTTCAGAATTCGACCGGAGAAATCCGCCCGCTCAAACAAGGCTTTTAGGGGGAATTCGGTTAACACGACGATTGTGTGAGCATGAAAGTAGTGTGCCAATTTCCTGGAGGCCATCATTAT